TGAACACGAGTCAGATGCATTCCATCTGCCACAGAAGTGCAATACCATGGACCCATATCAAAAAGCAAGATTTTTTGCTTAGCCGGACAACTTGTCGGATTTAAGGTACCTCAGTTTAAATGGTCTTTATTTTCATTCACTTACAATTAGCCCGAACTACCGTAAATCCGTGAAATCCAATTCTAGCCCGGTTAATTGCCATTGTTAGCAATATCAGTTGATAACACATTACGCGCAGTGCTTTACGTATAAAACTCCGTAGCAACATGTCCACAGATAACTTGGACGGTATAGTCCAGATATTTCTGGGATCTCCAAGGAACAAGAGTGTGCATGTCGTCACTTCCGGTTTCAAAACTCGGAATACGAGTTCCGAGGGCAAATGGAACGCACCAAAACTGCCCGAAATGGGTTGACAGAGACATTTCAGGGATTTTGAGTTATTCTGCACTGCAGATGGGTTAATTGTGTTAAAAATTTTAATCAGATTAATCATGATGATGGATTAATCCGTGTTAACCAGTTAATTTTGACAGCCCTAATAAAAAGGCATAACACAATATAACCTGTTTATTATGCATTGTAAATGCTTTATGAAGTTTTCAGTAACACTTTACTTAAGGTCACGTTTTCAGTAATTTAAAAACACATTCATAATACATTATAGTGCATTCATAAAGCATTATAAACACAGATATAAGTATTTAGAAAAAAACATAACATATTATAGCATTGATTATGCATTTTGACTGCCTTATGAAGCTCTCATTCATATCATGCACTATAGATACCTTAATAATGCAGAACAAAGCATCTTTAATGCTGTTAGTATATCGCCCTCCTAAAATTGCCACTAATTTCCTGACAGAATTTAATTAACCCCTCACAGTCATCTCATCTCTCTGCCCTTCCATTATTGTTCTTGGTGACTTTAATATCCAGTGTGGAGGTTAATAACACTTACCAATGATCAGTAGCTCCTTCACCTCATTCTGCAAGTCAGATCTCTGTTGGACTATTATACAGTATTGTTACCAAATTAATTTGGGCACAAGGAAAATACTTCACAGATATTTCACACTGATTAGTGCACATGTATGAACAGACAGCCCATAAAACACTATGCAACGTATGCAAGTTTACTCATGCTCATTGTATGTGTATGTGTGATTGTATTGGTAATATTGCAGTTGTTAACTGTGATGTAGTCCTTGATACTCATGCATATGAATTTGGCTAAAGTAAAGAAAATAAGAACTATATATACAAGCGTGTTTATTCAGCATCGACACCCTTTCTGCTTTTTATATATTGTTTTTTTTAGTCAAGCTGAACATTTTTGTTGAACACCAGCCCCACCTTTCAGTGAAATAATGTAACCTTGAGACACCGTTTGATTTATTATCCGATTCCATGATTCGTTGAGTCATACGGTCAGGCGCAAAAAAGACGAAAAAAAAAGTGAATCACAGAATCGATTTTAGAATCGATTCATTACAACGGACAGCTCGAAAGAATCAAATCAGTTAATTCAGTCAAACTTCCCATCACTACTGTGTAGCGACTGGGCCACATGAGCTCACCGCGCCCCCTAGCGTGGTGGAGCACTTCCGGTTTGGGATCGTCTACTTGCTGCGCATTTTCTTTCTGTTTCTCCTTTTTCTTTTGTTTGTCTTTTTTCACTTGTAGCACATTTTCGTTTTGTTTCTGCTTTTTCTTTTGTTTGTCTTTTTTGAATTGCAGCGCATTTTCATTTTGTTTCTGCTTTTTCTTTTGTTGGTCTTTTTTGAATTGCAGCACATTTTCATTTTGTTCCTGCTTTTTCTTTTGTGCGTGTTTTTTTAATCTGCAGCACATTTTCATTTTGTTTCTGCTTTTTCTTTTGTTTGTCTTTTTTTCAATTGCAGTGTATTTTCATTTTGTTTCTGTTTTTTATTTTGGTTGTGTTTTTTAATTTGCAGCGCATTTTCATTTTGTTTCTGCTTTTTCTTTTGTTTGTGTTTTGTCTCTAGGGGCCACCGTAAAGAACAGCCAAACAGCAATTGCGAAGTATTGTTGCTATATTACGACCATTACTGAGCATTTCTTTGTTTTGTGTCTTCCCTGCCTGCCCTGCCTGCCTGCCTCTTCGTGCCCTGCCGTCTCACCTGCCCTGCTTCCCCGGTCGTCTCTGCCTTCCTGCACTGTAAAAAAAAATAAAAAATGTTCAGCCAACTCAAAAATTCAAGGCAACATGCTGTAATACATTTTTGAGTTAAGCTA